TCAAAAGGTCCATCACATTTCCAACAACAGATTACTGATTTTCCGAAGCTCTTTGAGAGCTGTCATGGCAGTGACTTGTCCCTTTTCGACCAAATTGGTCTTAGTTAAGTTCTCCATTAATCCTGCTTGAACCTGAACCCGTTCTTGCTGGAAAACCGACTCAATCACCTGAACATATTGTCAAAATCATCAGAACGTTTGATCGATATTTTCAACATAGATGAAGAGAACGAGAATCAGTGTGAGTTTTACCTGAATGTGTTCGAGCATCGAATTGCCAAGGTTCTTCAGAGTATTCATCACATTCTGGTCTGTCTCTCCTTTGCTGTTCGAAGATGAAGCCTGCGGAGGAGAATGCGACTCGGAAGAGCAAACTAAATCGCTCTTACTACTTTCGATACCATTGGATCTTGTCTCCTCGCTATTGAGATTGCGTCCAAACTTCCAAAACCACTGGAATTTTCCTGGTGAAACCTTACTACGCTCCTTGATAATGTCCACTGATTTATCTGTGGTGTCCTCTTCGTCATTAGACAGTGTTACTGGAAACTCAATGCTGGGTTGAGAAGAAATGGGAAGAGGCGAATCTACTGCGCTGGTTTCTTGATCTTGAACCTTTTCAGTGGCAAATAGAATCGACTCTGTACTGCTATCAGAATCATTCTCGATGTAGTTTGAATCTCTGAGAGGACTGTTTGGATCTGAGAAAGCATCAGATGAATTCTCCTCAATTGCTATACTCTCTTCACCAGCAGTTTCGAAATCCATATTCCTTTCTTCGGTTTCTTGAACTGAGCTATCTTCATTGATCACCACATCTACTGTATCAGCTTCCTCAGGTTCAGAAACGACCTGCCGATTAAAATCTTCAAGTAAGTTACGAGCGATCAAGGATACCTTGACTTCACTTTTCCCGTTTCCTGACTTGACACAATGAGTTGGCTCAGACTCTGCTCTGAAGAGTCTTTTTACTTTGAACCATGCCTTTTTCTTTTGTGTTGGAGGACTCTTTTTCTCTTCCTCGGAGGCTTTGTGCAAATCTCTCCATTTCTCCTCCCAATAACTTTGTGGTGCAATTATCAATGGAGATTTAGGCGAAGTGGAACCTGAAGGAAAGCTGTTAGTTCTCGCCGGTATAGCAGGACTGATGCTCTGATCAAAGACCTCATGTATCGATAACGCTGATGATCTTACATCATCATCCAAAGCCAAAGCTTGTAATGACTTAGCTTTCTCGATTATCTTATTCACATCAATCTGCTCTGGGAAATTCAATAGTCTCTGGAGACAAGAAGCTGCATTTTCAGTAGCAAGCAACGATGATCTTAAACATAATATCATTGAAACCGCCATTCCCGAGATTAGCGCTCCACGAGGAGAATCAAAGATCTTGAAGCTCAGGTTTGTATCGTTATCCTCATCCGTTCTTGCTGTATTATCAGCTGAGAATATCTCATCCCACACTATCAACAAATCCTGTAGCAAAAACTCTCTTCCAAACAAAACTCGTAACCAACGAAGCCCAAAATACTGAGGTTCAACTCCGAGTTCAACCAAATGACTATGCAGAGACGAATCTACAAACGATAAAAGATGATAAAAGGCAGTGCACGCTTCAAGAACTGGAGGTAAACCCGTGTGGGATCCGCTGGCTGGAGAGTAAGCGAAAAATCCAGCCATTGCAACACAACCATTAGATCCACTCATTAGAGCATCAAACATGCAGTAAGCATCATGCTCCATGAATTTCTCGGACAAGACAATCCCGAGTTCTCCTTCAGCTCCATAAGCATCGCTTAACATTACAATGGATCGGATTTCTGGATCAAGCTCATCTAGACTCTTTATTTTCTTTGAATTCCCCTGAATACCACCAATCTCATCATCAGCGAAATCCTCCAGAAACTTCTTGAAATCAAAGTTGTAAGAAATATCTCTTTCTTCGAAAGATAACCCATCGAATCTATCCGTGAAATGATCTTCATAACTTTTACGCACTTCAGAGAGACGGTCGACATCAACATGAAGTACATATAGCAAAGGTGCCAAAAGCTCGTGCATTCCTGCCAACAAACATGAAAAAAAAAGTTAGATTACACATTATGGAAGTAACAAGATTTAGTAATTTGAAAGAAAACAAAACATATCGTACCTTGTCGATACCCGTACTCAGGATGTTTAAGGCACCACAAGAGTAGAATACGTCTTAACATGCCTTGACATCCAGGAGCTTGAAAATAGCTCCAATGTTCTGGATATAACCTCGATAAGTCTTGATCCAATGTTTTCTCTAGCTCCGCGTTACGAAAGAACCGACCCCATGTACTATCTGCATATAACACCATTAATCTCAGCAATCAAATGAAATGATTCCATAAAAACACCAAGCAATCAAAACACAAAAGTATCTGCAAGATTTACCTGGGTTTTGTGATAAGGGATTGTCAATTGCAAGATTAGGTGAATTTCCAACATCTTTAGACAAATGTGGATCTATCAAGAGTCGTCTCCTTAAAGCAGCATATCTACATGAACAAGAAAAACATTGCTAAACCCAGAAAAAAAAGCTCAAATCTTATTGCATATTCAAATCTAGGGTTCAATTCCCAAATTAGGAAACTTTAGTTTAGGGACAAACACAAAAATGAAGACCAACATTGGTGTAATTTGAAAGCTTACCTTCGTCGAGATTCAGCAGTTGCTCTGCGAAGATCATCGATGGAAGAAGCATGAAAGGGAAGAACACCGAGATTCACGCGCCACCGTACACCTCTCAGATTAGCGAAACGACGGTCAGATTCGTTTTCCGACATAGATTGCTCTCTTATCTCCGATGAAACCATAAAGCTTCTGTTTTTAACTTTCTCCGGTTACACAAAAATTGAATTATTCTTCGCGACTTTTTTTTAAAAATCAATGATTTAAAGTTAGTCACCGGGAAATTTCTCCGTTGACACAAAGAAGAATGAAATTCAATCGAAATTGTGCCTGAAAAACAACAATATTGTAAAATCCGATCAGATCGGAACACGATGAAATAGGAGAGAGAGAGAATCACGTCTCTGTTTTTTTTCTCTCTCCGAATCCAAGCAAAGATGTAGTACAAAAATTAAGTTTTTATTTTTTTTACAGAAGCTCCATTATTATTGTTGTCATCCTCTGAATAAAGGAAGAAAATAGGAAATTTGTTTTGTTTCGTGAGAGAACTAAAAGGTGACCTGTCGGAACAAAAGTGGAGAAGAAGACGATGATGAATGATGATGAAGCAGCACCAGCTCAAATAC